AGAGTTGGGGTGGTGGGGGTGGAGGGGGGAGGAGGTGGGGGGAGTGTATTATTATGTGTGCGGGTGAAGGATTGGAACGGAGGAGGGAGTGTATTATGTGTGCGGGCGAGATTGGAATGGAGGGGGAGTAGGTATTGGAACTGGGGGAATGTATTATTATGTGTGTGGGGGGGCTTGGAATGGGAAGGGGAATGTATTATTTTATGTGTGCCGCAGGAGTGTATTATTTTATTTGTGCAGGGGGGAACTGTATTAGTGTGTGTGTGTGTGTGTGTGGGGGTGGTTGCATTTTTCTGTGTATGTGTGTATATATTAGGACCCGTTCACACCTATATTTCAGATGCCATTAAGGATTTCTGTGTCACAAACTTGCTTTTTCCTGCAGCAGGAATCCCTAATCTGACGTTTACATGCAGCAACTGTCACCCAAGTTAATGATCAGGTGACAGCTGCTGCATGTAAACGCCTGCATACCGCATGTAATGGTATGTGATATGATTACATGCAGTTACAAAAACAATCACTCTCCCTGCATACACGATCGTGTATCCAGAGAGAGTGATTGATTGTTAACTGCATGTAATCCTTTCACACATGATTACATGCGATGTGCAGGCGTTCACATGCAGCGGCTGTCACCTGATCATTAACTTGGGTGACAGTTGCAGCTTGTAAACGCTTGTAACATGTGCAGACATTAACACTGGTACCGTATGTAGTTAGATTTTATTTTGAAGCATGAAATTCGTCAAGCAGCCCCCTGGGACTAAATAAAAAAATTGTGGCCCTCGGGTAAATTCAGTTTGGGACCCCTGCTCTAGAGTCTTAAAAATGTGTAATAAATTAATGAGGGTGTCCAGCTTTAAGAGAGTAAAATCCATACCAAGTCTCTATCCGAGAAAAGGGTCTGGTGGGAATTTTGGAGGGGCCAAACGCCACTTTTTACATCTTTACATTTACTATTTACATTTTATATTTGTGACTGTGGTGTCTCGAGGTTTTGCATACTTTTAAAGGGTAGCGTGACTGAGAAAATGTTGAGATAAGCTGCTCTAGAAAATGATGAAGTCGTGTACATGTCACACCTTATTATTCAGTTTCATTTCCCTTTTCTTCTAAAATAACACCCGCTACATCAACACTAACATAATATTTCGGTGATTTCACTTCACTGGGGAAACCCTAAAAAAATTTTTGAGCTTCTGTTGGCTGTTTGTAGCCGTTGCCTATCAGGCAGAGGGTCGAGTTAATAATGATTTTACAAAATGCTCCCAGGCCTTCTACAATAATAACATGCCTGTTGGCTTTCAAGGCATTGTCACACCTCATGACTTTAAGGAGATACCGGATGGAATAACAACAATATCTGACCTGGACTCTCCAGCCTATATTTGTCAGACGCTTGGAGGGAACAGTTACTACGCCACTTTATATGACCGAGGGAGGCGCATTCCCCTGTATTCTGCCTACATCCTGGACAGGAACAGCACAAAGAATAATCCAAACTGTACACGAACCAGTGCATTTAAGTTAGAGCCGCAGGTTTGTATATCCCATTTAGAGAGCAAATGTAATATTCTGTTTCATATTATATTTATATCGAGTGAATGAATTGCTAATAAGGGGTTGTATTTCTTCAACCATTTTATGATATCCCTATCATCTTCTACATGAGTCATTGTGAAGGGGGAAGCAGCTGATGCAATTGGGAGAGAAAAGGGCATAGAAGGGGCGACTGATATCTGCACCCTCTCCCATCTACTGCTCCGAGTCATACTCTATTAATGGGTATTATATTGAGTAAGTGATTAACCACTTCAGCTCTCGTACCTGTATACCCCTTATGGACCAGAGCAATTTTTACATGACCACTGTGGGCTTTATAGTGATAACTTTGTCATTACTCAAATGGCAAATTTATGGGCAAGCTCACCAAGGCCCTTGGCCCTTGTCAAAGTCACTCAAATCCTTACGGAAAGTTTCAAGGACAACGTGCCGAGATACAGGGGGGGAGGGGTTAATTTTGAAAGTTGGACTAAGTGTACTCGTTTAGTTGACTGGCTTCGCAATACTCCTTACCTAATGGTAAGTTTCTACTTTTGTATTGATTTGCTTTACACAACATCCTCATCTCCGTATCATACATTTATGTTTTCTGGGACGAATCGGATCAACCACTGAATGTACCACTCGAACCCTGGAATAAAAACTGGTCCCTATTCCAGCCTTCCTTTCTAAAAAAACGCCCCGCTTTCGCTTGTTTTGTAGAGCTTCTCCCCTCCCTTTTTGCTCAAATCCTTACGCTTGAGCATTGTTTCTGCTTCCGACACATCAACTTCAGGGACAAAATGTTCACCTGCTGCCTAATATATCCCCCCCACTTCCAGGTGTCATTGTAATATATCTCCCCACTTCCAGGTGTCATTGTAATATATCTCCCCACTTCCAGGTGTCATTGTAATATATCTCCCCACTTCCAGGTGTCATTGTAATATATCTCCCCACTTCCAGGTGTCATTGTAATATATCTCCCCACTTCCAGGTGTCATTGTAATATATCTCCCCACTTCCAGGTGTCATTGTAATATATCTCCCCACTTCCAGGTGTCATTGTAATATATCTCCCCACTTCCAGGTGTCATTGTAATATATCTCCCCACTTCCAGGTGTCATTGTAATATATCTCCCCACTTCCAGGTGTCATTGTAATATATCTCCCCACTTCCAGGTGTCATTGTAATATATCTCCCCACTTCCAGGTGTCATTGTAATATATCTCCCCACTTCCAGGTGTCATTGTAATATATCCCCCCCCCACTTCCAGGTGTCATTGTAATATATCCACCACTTCCAGGTGTCATTGTAATATATCTCTACCACTTCCAGGTGCCATTGTAATATATCCCCCCACTTCCAGGTGTCATTGTAATATATCTCCACCACTTCCAGGTGCCATTGTAATATATCCCCCCCACTTACAGGTGCCATTGTAGTATATCCCCCCCACTTACAGGTGTCATTGTGACCTGATATGTAACCAGATAATCAATGTTATTCACTTCACCTCTCAGTGGTCATAAGGTTACAGCTGATCTGTGTATATCTGACTATTTTCTCTGAAATACGGCTTTGTAATTTTTATTTCAACAGAACAACTCCTCACTTTCAGGATGTGGGGTTGTGGTTTTGAAG